CACGCAGACACACATACAGAAAAGCTGGGGTCTGGTGGAGGTGTGATCACTCTGATGAAGCATGCCTACTACTGCCAGCACCCCAAGCTTCACTGTGTTGCTTAGGTCCAGCAGCACAGGATGAAGGGCCCCAAGCTTCAGTGTGTTGATTAGGTCCAGCAGCACAGGATGAAGGGTCTGCTAGCCAAGACAAAGTAGGAGGTCTCAGTAGGTGAAGGAAGCTACAATTGCCTAGGTTCTGTGCACACTAATCCATCCATAGATACTCAAACTCAGACCCCAAGGAAAACTTTGCCACTCTCTTGAACCTGATCTACGTGGATAAACATTTTTACTGATTTCCCATGGGTCTAAGGACATGGAATTTTCTACATGGCCATGCCCATGTCAGCAATACACATTCACTCAGGAGTTATCTTAGGGCTTCTTCCACTACCATACATACAGCCCATCTATAGCTCATGTAAGACTTGAGCTTTAGATAGTCCATATGATTACAGGAGAGACAGGATGGTACAAGCAAACATGAGAGGAGTAAGCCAGACTGGAGGTTTTGTATCAGGACAGGTAAAGGTGAAGCAACTTGAGTTAAAGGTAGGCATGATGGACAGGCAATCTGAGATGACATGATTTCCAGGCAAATGCACTATTATTCCATTCAGAATAAGACAGAGGAAAAAGACAGAGTGGACATCAGTACTACCCCATTTCTGTGATGCATTTAGGGAGAAAAAGATGAATTATGTAATTTATTTCCTAAGAAATTCCATCTTCTAGATGAAAAGGTTCATACACCTCTGCCAGTAGTTTGCATAGTGGTAACTCTTTCTTAGTGTGCTGAATAAATTCAAGAGTGAGTGAGTTTAAGACAGTCAGACAACAGACTGCTAAATTCTTATCCCTTTTCCAAGAGGGCAAAATGAGAGGCAAAAATGACTACATGAAAGGAGTGGACACCTTCAGAGCTGGAGAATCCAGGCTGCCTTCGCAAGTGCTCGTTTTCACTGAAGGGTAATCATCACCTTCAGCACAGCCCTGGAGAACAGATTCTCTGCAGGACATCACACTCACTTTCCCATGTCTGGGAGGGATGGAATGAAACTGTGGCAGTTCTTCCTCTTCCTTGGAAGCTTGTCCCTAGAGAACTGCGCTCTTGAGTGGCCTGCTACTCATCAAGGTCTTAAGAGGATGTTTAATGCATGGTGGATCAAGGATGTGTTAGTAGATGAGTTGACTGGTGTACTGCAAGAAAAACCTATGGTATGTGCTTGGAAATGGAGAGTTTGGAGTCAAAATATTGATGATACCCGATGTGTCTACCATTCTCTTGATTCTTGCATCCCTTGACTAAGCTGTCATTTTGATAATCTAAATGTCAAGCGGAAAATATCAATTCTTATTGTATATCCACATGAAGACAGGATTGGCACAAACTGGAGATGTTGCCTGTTCACATATATGAGCTATAATGGGGCTTCTCAGCTATGCCAAGACTTGATTCCTGGTGTATGACTGTGAGTATTTCTATCAGCCCCAGAAATATTCAACTGTGGCCTTGGGCTGATAATTATGGTTAATATTGATTGTCCACTTGACAGTTTCTAGAATCATCTAAAGACACCCTGGTAATGCCTGTAAGGAATATCTAGACTAGTCTAAATAAGGTGGGAAGCCCCATTTTAACTGTGAATAGTACTGTCCCGTGAACTATACAAAAACAGACAAACTATGTAGCATCAGCACCCGTCCCTCTGCTTCCTTTCTATTAACACTGTGACCAACTGCCTCCCACTCCTGGTGTCATTTCTTCTCCACCATGATGATCTACCCTCCCTAAAATTGCTCTGTACATGGCATTTTTGTAACAACAAAAAAGCAATGACTATTGTGATCATGTCAGATCCCGAGAGTCACTTGGGACCCTGAGTGGTATCTGCAGGCAAAGCCCACAGATGCAGTGACAATACAATGCATCACTCTAAGAACCAGTGGTTTCAACATGAGAAGATGAATAACACCAAGGAGTGACCTGCTATTAGCAGAGCACATGCTGTCCCTGGGTATGGACTGGGCAGCTGTGTAATGAATCCAGGTGCATGACAGCAGCTATTGTTCAAAAGCCAGGAAAAGATGCTAGCCGTGAACTACAGAGCTTGCGGAAAGGCCTCAGATGTGCACAGCTCCAGCCCCCAGTCCTCCATCTGCCTATTTTTCTTGTATCAGTTTATTTTAGTGGACACATATCCAAGTTCAAGTTCCCTTCCATATGACTGCTTTTACTTTGTTGCACATACAGTCTCAATATTTTCATATGTTCAGAACAAATGTTTTCTAACAGAGTCTAAAGCCTTTTGTTTCACTATCAATGAAAAGAACGAAGAGTTGCTTGGTTATTTTAATACAATGCCATTTGTTGTCAACTTTGAATGGTCGAACATGTTTTAGTTTTTGTACTGTTTATTCATGTACACTATTTTTCTCATCAACATAACTCCAAGAATTTAACAAAATTAATAATAAAAAAATATTAAGAAAGACTTGGATGCTAGTCCTTTGTACCATGAAATTTGATGTAAAAATTCTAATAAACACAAATAAATGGTACTGTAGATTGAATTTTTTTCCTCAGGTGATGTGTTCAGGTCTTTACCCTGAGAATCTGTGAAGGAAGCCTCGTTTGGGAGCAGTGTCTTTGCATATGAAGCTAAGGTTGGGTCATTCTGAGTAGAAATACCCAAATCCAATGACTGATGGCCTTTAACACAGAGAGAGATTTGGTGAAACAGACATACAGGGATGATGGAAGTGTGGAGTGATGCTCCCACAAGCCAAGAAATGTCTTCCCTAGAGTTGTCAGTAGCATGACTGCTGGTTCACTGACTTTATACTTTAGCTTCTAGAACAAAATGAAGATACATTCTTTTAGATCATCCTTTGTCTGGTATTTTGTTTCAGAAATCCTGAAAACCTGATATGGACATGCTGGAAAGTTTCCATTGCAATAAATGTTTAATTTCAAAGTTTTACCTAATATTTCTAGTTATTACCATGCCTAGTGCTTGGGTTTTATAATTGCCCACCTTTCATCTAAAATCTGAAAACCATGGTGAGTTTTTCGCCAAGATCTATATCAATATCCCTCAATTCTTTCTAGTTCAATAGTAAATATCAGATAATGAACATGACTTTCTTAATGTTCAAGATATAAAAACAGTAGAGAAACACATATAGATGCAGACCATCTGCAGGGTTCTCCATGGCCGCAGGTTTAGGACAGCTCAAGGTTAGTCAAGTGTCTGTTTCCTTGATGATTTTCTGTGTGATTATTCTAGCAACTTAGATGGACATTTTCTTATTTCTACCCTGAATCATCTCAAATAACTAAAGTTAACTTACAGGTTATGGTGCTGAACAAACACAATAAAATTTACTAAAATGGGCTGGGCAGTGGTGGCACATGCCTTTAATCCCAGCACTAGGGAGGTAGAGGCAGGCAGGTTTCTGTGAGTCTGAGGCCGGCCTCATCTACAGAGAGAGTTCTGGGACAGTCAGGGCTACACAGAGAAACCTTGTCACAACAAACAAAAAATTACTAAAATGATAATTATTTAAAACAAGTCTCATGAACAAGAGATTTGGCAATTAAGGTTGTATCTTTACCTGTCTAAAGCATCCAAGAGTTATATTCTGTAAGTAAGTAAAATGAAATTCAATTTACATAATGACTTGCGTGGTATAAATAACATCAAAGTGGTTCTCCTGCTATGAGTGATGATCCATTACAGGTAGAGATTCAAGATAGCAGGTGTGGGCTGGGGAAACTGATTTTGTGGGAGTGAATGGAAATTTTGCACATGCACTGATTCTCAGAGGAGATATGCATGAGTCTTTAGAGACAATTTCTTATTAGAGGATTCTGGAGTTGGAAAACAAGCAGCCTTGACTTAGTGTTTTGTCCCTCAAGATACGCATACCTCCCTGTACTGTTCCATCATCGTCCCAATCTCAGTATGTCTGCAAACTGATTCTTCTCCTAATATCTCTGAAAGAGCAAAGAGTTCACAAGTGCTCATGGTCTTTGATGCTTCAAACATCTCACATTTCTGTTCCCTTGTCCTGGTGCCTACAAAGCCAATGCTGTCAGTCCTCACTGTTTTAATTAATAAAATCCGTGTAATAGTGGGTTTGAGTAGATGAGTTTTTGGGTCTCTTATTCTTTCATGGTTTTACAATGGTTTTACTTTTCCTCTTATTTCAGGTCCCCAGCTATGCTCTGAATGGCATGGTCTCCCTTTGGATTTTAATCCCAGAAAGCATTAACTTTAATAATCTTTTTAAATTTTTAATATCTTTTTTTGAGGGTCACATTATAAGCAATAAATATCAAATCTCTTTGCTTTGGTCTGTTCAAGTAACATATTCCTAACTGGAAGTTTCAGGGCAATGTCTCCTAATAGGTTGCTCTGAAGTCACAGATGATGCATGCTTTCCTAGTGTGTGCAAGGCCTTGGGTTTAATTCCCTCCACCCCTGTGTATGTTCATGTGCATGCACACACACATACACACACACACACACACACACACACACACACACACACACACACACACAAAGAAAATCCCAGGATTGTGCTACTTCATGGACTGAAATTCTATGAAACATGTAAATGTTCATTTACACAGTTCTTTCTTTTCAGGCCTATCCCCTACTCAATCCATTCACCCTCTGTACTTCTGAAGACCAGAGCTGATAACTACTATTTTAGAAGGGTGCCCTATGGGAGCTGAGGCTGGGAATGAAACTTACCAACCTCTCTGATTAGTGGCTAGTCTCATCTATCTTTGGTTCATAGGAATATATTTTACTATGACATAATATCTCACTTATTTCTTTCAGTTTATCTCTACTAGAGCAATGTTACAAAGTCTAATATTTTATTATTTACCTAGAACATCAGTTGATAGTTGATATCACACCCATCATGTAATTCTTGCTTTTTAGGTTAGGTACGGCATTAAGTATCCACATGTTGCAACAGGATTCTTCATGAAGAGCTATGAGCTTCACACAAGCAGGAAACTCTACCATCACAGGAAATTGTAAATGAATTTTCACTTGAAGCAAATTAAAAGACAATCATAGGTACTGTCAAATATTTGATAGTTGAGAAATTTCCAAACTAAAACCTATACCAACAAAGTGAATGTGAGAAAAGTATTGCCTGTTTTGCCAAGTATGTGATTTGTATTCTTTTCATCCTCAGAAGGCTCCCCTGAACACCTTCATGAAAATATCCCAGTTATCAGTCCCTACCATGACTCAAATGTGAACAAATATGAGACTTAGCTCTAGACTGGAAGGACCTTCTGAGTACAGATAAACATTCATTTGTCTCATCTTTGGCCAATAGTGAAAAGTATCAGCCTGAAAACTCCCCCTGGATAGAAGAAGTCACTCACTGAGTGCTGAGTCTCTACCTGGAGAGGTGGTTAAGTTGGAGCAGAAGCTCCACATCTTGTCCTACTTTTGATTTTTCAGTATCAATAAATGGCCTGGTCTTATAGAACCTGGTCATCAAGCATTTTGTTTCATTGGGCCCCTTTGTTCTTTTCTTCTTGATGGCCATTGTTCATGCTTTCACAGTCTCCTTGTATCTCCTAACATGAAATTCAAGAACTGCTTCAGTCATTTGAAAGGTAACTACCAAACCATGTCATCTTCATCAGCTGCCACAGGTCAGATTTTCGCTCCTCTATCCACAGCCCCAGAGAGTCACAGAACAAGCCCAGACAGAGCTACCTGCAGTTCATAAACTGAGCAGATGGGCCCTACAGCAGCATCTGTATTATGCAAGTGGTGCTGGTTTTAGGCTACCCTGGGTCCAGGCTTTTGTAGGATACACCAGGATGTTCCCAGTTGACTGTATCGTCACTTGATTCTGAGTAATGTCACTCTTCTCACAGAAGACAACCTAGGCTCCTCCATAGACAAAACTGTGCCTGAGCTTTGACCTGGCACTTTCTTTTGATGATATGAGCTGCCCCCACTTGCCTGCTCAAGATCAGGCTTCCCTCTAACCCATGCTTCTCTAGACTATTTTTGTTTTCCCATTTGTTTTCAGTCATACCCAGGTCCCCATCCAGAAGAGGCACACACATCTCCTGCACGTGTCTCTTACCCATTCAATCATCACTGCCTTTAATTAAAATCTGACCATGTGGGAAAGCTTTCCTACCTCAGTCCATGCCCTCACTGTAGAGACCCCTCTACAGGGCTGCCAGGACCACCTTTAGATTCTTATGGTTATTTATTATTTGTTCTTAGATTATGTTCCCTCCAGTTGTCACCTGCAGGATTGAGTTGACCAACAAAGTTTAAGACTCCAAGAAAATAAGACACTGTGGTTAAATGAGCCCAATTAAAGGCCCAAAGCATGCAGTTCTCTGATGAACACCTCCTGCAATTTACACTCGTATGCAGACATGTTAGCTGTAGTCTGAGAGGCATTCTGGTCGGATTCAAATTATTAAGTACATGAGTTCCTTGTCTTATGTCCCAAAGTCTTGCTGAAATATAAAAGGAATATTAAAATGTTAACTAATTGTTAGTAGCATTAAGAAAAGAGGAAGATATTATGAATATACAAGGGACTCGTGGAACTGTTGAGACATAGATGTGAAATATATATTATAGCACCTGGTTTAAAGGTCCTTGAATAGACTGCAATTGTTCAGCACTAGCAAGAAAGCTTGGACTACTCCCAATCTCATTAATTGAGGGACTGAAAAACTGGTGCCCACCTCTCCAGGTAAAAGTCAGCACTGGTCTTCTCTCCACATAATGGCAAGTGGATGGGAGAGTTTGGGATCCAGAAGCCAGATATTTGCCTAGGTGACTTCTGGGAAATAGACCCTCCATGCTCTAATGGGGCCGCAATCTTTGCACTCCTCCACTACCATGAGCCTGATGTAAATGGTTGGAAGCTGGCTAGTGAGTGTAGTCTCCCTGGTTAGTATGCACTTTCTAAATCCCACTCTGTACAGAGTGGTCAGTGATTCTGTTAAAACAAAAGTAAAACCATTGGTGATTTGCTCAAAATCTCATAGTGAATTCCAAAGTTGGGATGCTGACCTCTCTGAGCATTCAGTGTCAGGAAGAAGTGATGGGTGCTGTCTTTTCCATTTATTGGAACCTGCTTTGGACAAGGAGAAGGAAAGGAGCCATTCTCACCTCAGGCTCCTGCAGCTTACTAGGAAAGGTCAGAGACTTGACAAGTATAGGGTCAACATGATGAAGGAAGATTAATTAGACTGGGAAAAAGATGGGACGCAATGAACTACAAGGATGAGGATTTGCCCACATCACACGCAAGCTCCAGGAAGACACCATAACCCAGATGAAATGGGGAGGATCCCAGAGCTGCAGGGTGCAAAGCTTTGGGAGAACCCTTGTGCTTCAGGGTCATGAGGATCATACGCATTTTCAAGCACCAGAGTGAGGAGTTGGGGGAGCAATTTGGGAAACTTCTTGCTTGTTTGTTTTGTTTTGTTTTGTTTTAAAACATAATTTCTTTGTTGATTCTTTGAGAATTTCACATCAAGCACCCGAATTCCACTCAGCCCCTAGTTCCCTCATATCATCCCTTCATGCCTGAAGCAGCCCCAAAAGAAAATTTAAAAACTCAGACCAAAACAAACAAATGAGAAACAAATAAACAAAAATAAGAACAAAGCAAACCAAAACTAAGCAAACAAACTCTCTTTGCTTCTCCTTCTTTCCTGGCTCTCCCACACCTCTTCATTCATCCTGGTAGCATTGGGAATGGTGTGTCACACAGTATACCCTTTTGACTAATCAGTTTTACTGGCAATTGTTCATCGCAGTGAGTCATTGATCTGGTTTCTGGTACACCAACCTTTATGAATTCTCACTGGAAGCCCTCTGGGATATTTCCCAGCTGCCCTGAGTCATGGAGATCCTGTGTGTATCTTTCCACAGGACCAGCTGTCTATGTCGGAGTTTTGCAAACATGACATAGTGGTATGAGGAATTGTCAGTGGTGACGACATGGCCATGCTAGAGAAAAAGAAAATTCCTTTAAAAGTTTCAATGCATGATGAAATCCACTTGTATTGCCACCAAAGGTCGCACAGAAGCCCAGGGTTGGAGTTACAACCTGAGGCCTTAGTAGTATCCAGGGGCTATGCCACCTCCAGAATCATCCCAACCTCAGTAGTCATTACTTCCACTCAGAGCCAGGATGTTGTCCAGGCCCGAGCTAATTCAGAGGGCCATGTTCCAAACAGGGCTACACCCCTGTAGTCCAGATGCAGATGCCAAATCAGGTTGATGTTGATGTCTGTAACCCATGTCACCTTAGGGGGCCATAGAAACCATGTGTGATGAAATCAGAGGGCCATACTCAGCCATCCTCACCCTTCCCTGTCCCAGGGAAAGCTGGCTCTGCATCTCACTGGACATAGACAGCAATATGCAAATAACTATGCCAATTGTCAACAGAATCACCAACTATCCCCACTCATCATTGTTTATGTCTCATTAAGAGATCCAGGACTTAGCCAAACATTAGAAAAAATGTGCAAATGTTACCTTAAATGTCAATATTGGTAGTTTCTCGATTAAAATGTACACACTGTATAACTATCCTTTGTGACATTTTCCTTTGTGAAGAAGTTAAGAATGAAGTTAGAAAAGTTTCCAAATGTCTTATATTTACTCAGGCTTTCTTCAAAGCTAAAGCTGTAATTCATTGTTGATCACTGGAAAGAAATTATGAATATTTCAAGACTTTCAACAATAAAGTGTTGAAATTATGTCTCTCAAATCTTCTAATATTTCAAAGACAAAGCCTGCTCTTGGGAAAAGAAGAAAATTTCTGTAAGAAAATAGATCACGGCAATTTGGCAACGCATTTTTTTTCAGATTTAGTGTAAGAAAAACAAGTTATTTACTCCTGCTATTCTTGACTAGACTGTATCACCACAGTTCAATTTATGTCCTGGAGGATGTTCTCAGCAACCTGAACAAACTTGGCAATGACTGATAAAGAGAGACTATCACAGTAAGGAGATAGCTTTCAGGCAATGTTGACACATGTCCCAAACTTTAACCTTGCATCCAGGACATAAAAATCAACTCTCTCCTCTCTCTCTCTCCCTCTCTCTCTCTCTCTCTCTCCCCCCTCTGTGTGTGTGTGTGTGTGTGTGTGTGTGTGTGTGTGTGTGTGTGTGTGTAAGGGGGGAAGGGGGAGAGGGGGAGGGAGGGAGAGAGAAGGAGGGAGGGAAAGTGAGCACACCTATGGATAGTTTGATGCCTCATATTAAATGCAGTTTTTTAAAAGTGCTGTCCCTGGTTTTGTGTTTCTTCAGCATACACAATGACACAGCAAGAATTGTAAGGTAGCTCTTAGTTTGCATTGTCTAAATATTTCCTAAGCAATGCTGTAGGAGAAGGCAGAAGTACACTTACTGCTTTTGGTTTTCTGATCAATTGAACAACAGCCTTAGGATCTGAGGGTGTGGCCCAGGTGGTAGTTGGTCATGGAGCATGTGTGTGGATCTAGATAAGGTTGTCAGTGCTTCAAAGAGTAAAGATGAAGGAAGCAGGCCATTTTGTCATACTAATTAAGACAAATAAAGGAAGGAATAGATAAGAAAAGAATAAGACAAGCCTTAATAAACTGCTAAAGAACTCACATTGCTTCCTGGGTATATTACACATCATGTAGATTTGCTCTTGAATTCCAACTAAAATGAGTTATTTGGCTAAACAAGAGAATGTCAGATGACCAATGAAATATTTCTACCTGTCACAGATTTGCAGAAACATATGTGCCAGGGAAGGGCTCATCCAGTGAGGTTCACAGAATGGGCTCTGTGACACCCAAAGGAAAGACAATTGTCATGGCAAGTCCAGTCATCTGTATTGACATGCCCTGAGTGAGTCCCAGACTAAAGGTAAGATCCCTTCGTTAAAGTAATACTAGTTATTAAAATGCCCAAGTTTATATGCCAATTCCATACAGTAATTTCTTGTACATAGCAGAATTTTTTCAATATATTTTCTATTTAAACATTCATTTTGTTTTCTTTTAATTTTCCTTTCCCTTGCTCAAACTAAATGCAATTTTCAAATGGAATATGTTGTGATAGGGGATAGCCTTCTGTATATATGCTTCTCTTATTGGTTGGTGAATAAAACACTGATTGACCAGTAGCCCGACAGAAAGTATAGATGGGTCCATGAAAAGAGGAGAAGGCTGGGGAGACAACACAGAGAGAGGCCAAGGGAGACACCAAGTAGCAGAGGAAGGAGTAGAGAACTGGACTGTTCTCCAGTAAAATAAAACCATGTAGAAATACTTGGATGAATAGAAAAAGGTTAATAATTAAGAGAGAGCAAGCCAATTAGAAGCCTAGCCATCAGCCAAAGGGGTTATAAATTAATGTAAGTCTTTGTGTATTTATTTGGGGTTAATAGGCTGTGGGACCAGGTGAAACAGAAACTATATCTACAATATTGTGTTAGAATTTAACAAGGGTGCTTTTGGGGGTGGGGTGACAGTGTAGAATTCTGGGTTATTGGGTATATTAGGTATTCAAACCTAAGGAAATGGTTAAAAACTGTCCTGGGAGGGGCAGAAATAACACAGATTCAGCTAATGCTAACACCACCAGGAGGAGCAAACCAATAAGGGAGGCTTTCTATCTTCTGAAAGTGATTCTGTAATCCAGGAGAATACCCAGTTACCCATTGCTTGTGCAACACTCCACCCCAAAGAACCAGCCATTCTCCATGCCTGGGAGTCTGAGGGGCAGAAACTGGGATGTTGCGCTGCAGAACTGCAGAGGTGCCCAGTCCCACATCTTGAGACGTGTGGGGCTGGAGAAGCCAAGGCTATCTCCATTCACATGCCTGGGCCCTTGGCCAAGGAGGCATGCAAAGCTGGGGGCTGGACCAGGCTTTAAACAATGCCTCCCAACAGAATGTGTCAGGTTTCCACGTGGAAGGGATGTGCTAAGGTCACTAAGTGTAGGAAGAGATCTTAGGTACCTGTAGCGTTGACCATGCCCATTTGGGCGTGGTCACAGGTATGTAGAAGATGCTGGGGGCTGGGGAGGGGAGGGAGGAGGGATAAAGAGCTGAGAGGAAGGGGACTCGCTCTGTCTTAGGGTTCCGGTCGGGTCTTGGAGAGCATCAGACCCGCTGATCGTGGGTTCTTGGCTTCTCATGTAAGTGATTTCTCCCTGGTAAAATATCATACCACATCCCTATCCTGTGTAGGTTAATCTTGCTTAATAACTGAGACACCCAAACTGTCACTGCCCATCCCCTGTTCCAGGTCAAGAGTGGGAAAAAACAGTTGATTCCCTTAACTGAGTACACAATACAATTTTGTCTGATGAACGAATTTACTATGTGTTTTAAAATATAAATGAAATCCATTGCTTTTCGTCATTATTATTGTAATAGTCACTTGACTACTTCAAAGAGTAATTGGGATGTTCTCTTATTTGAGAAAAGAGACCAAGCAGGCTTGAAAACAGAGGCCAAGGCCACAACCCTAGGGAGCATATTCAGAACATCCAAAGTCTTAGAATCTAATTTGGGTGAGCTGTAGCTCTAGTTAAGTTGTCACTTCTCTGCCACCTCAGCTGACAGGGAAGACACTATATGGGGCAAGGTAGGAGTTATGGAACAGGCAACAGGATAACAGGATGGAAATCCAAACACTCTTCAGGTTTCCATTGTAAATGGCCCATGTCACACTGCTGTCATGCCTCAGCCAGAGCAAGTCCATGGCCAAGCCTGCCGCAATGAAGCACACATTGCACTGCGACCCCAGGGGGCAGAGACAGCTCTGTGAAGGGCATGTGTGTGGTGCTTACACTACATCACAGCTGCCTTCAGTATGCCTTGTGATTAACAAGTTTGAAGACACAGCAGCTTCTGTTCCTGTGCCCAACTACACAGACCACTACAGTTTATGACAATTTCCTGTTCTTGTGCCCTACAGCACAGAACATTACAGTTTATGACAAAGTCCTATATACTTTGTGAAGAACTAGCAGAGAGGAGTGCAAGGATTCTCAACACAATGGAAATGGTAATTATCCTGAGTAAATCATCATATACATGTAATAAAAACTAAAACTAAAACAGGAAAGCAATATTGGATTATTAACATCTGATCTGCATACAATGTTCTAGGTGCTAATCTTTAAAAGGAGTTAGCAGAATGTGGCAGGTTTCTTCTTCTTCTTCTTCTTCTTCTTCTTCTTCTTCTTCTTCTTCTTCCTCTTCTCCCTCTTCTCCCTCTTCTTCTTCTTCTTCTTTGAAAGAAGATTGACACAAGATAATCTGGTAAGTAGGGATGGAGTTACACAGTGAAAACCAGCTGAAGTTTCCAACAATGGGAAATCGTATCAGAGCAGCTCAGCATTACAATGAGCACGACTGCTACCTTCTGAGGGTAACTTGGTTGGAAGAGACAGGCTATGGCCAAAATAGCCAGGTAGTATAGTATGAACGAGGTGTTGGATTGTAAATTCCTTTTTGAAATAGTGTTTTCTGTGTGTTCAAGCTCAGCAATGAATAAAGAACATGGAAGCCCCTAGAAGTTATCCTATGCAGTAGCAGATTTTTACATACAAGCAAAGGCTGCATTTGAAGATTTATATCTATCATCTATCTATCTATCATCCATATGTTTGTAAAAGTTTTGGATTTGACAAGCTTAAGAAAATGCTTTCAAGTTATTAGACTGAGAAAGCACATATTCCCTGGAAACCCACCAGAGTGTGAGTAAACTGTGCTCATAGCCAAAGGAATTTCCATTGCTTTTCATTTTCTTTCTTTACTCTGCAGAGCTCAATGCCTGGCAGAAATACCTATCTCTAATTTTGGATGCCTGTGCTGGACCCATGGCCACTTCCGCGCTGTTTTTAGAAAGGAGCCCTGAAGCTGCTGACTGATCAACTAGAGCTGTGGAGCTGATCTTCAGGTTAGTTCATAAGTTAGCATTTTGCAGATCCATGTCTATGGTATGGAATCCCAGTGCTCACTTTATAACAGAGCCTTGCAAGAGATGAGAAAGTGCCACAAGCTAGTACATCATCCCCATGGCAACTGTGTCACCATGAAAAGCAACTGCTGGTGTGAAAGCAAGATGCTTTCTCCAAGATGTGACGTGATCCCTTCAGGGTCTGGAAGCTAGGAAGCAATTCTGAAGATATCATTCTCTCAGCACCACCCTCTCTTGCTCTCTGCAGGGCCTTTGTTTTCTTCTCACCCCTGCATCCACTTTCTCCCCTCCTTTAAATAGCCATGAATAGCCCCAGGAATCCAGACAAGTCCCCCAGCTTTCTCAACATCTCCAAGCAAATAAACCCAAAATGGTTTTTACATAAGGCAGCTCTCAGGTAATGAGGGTTGCTTGAGACCTGTGTGGAAGTCCTCCATGAATGAGGGGAAGAGCTCTCTTCCTCAGAGCTCTGGTCCTCCCATAATGTTTCCTAACTAAACATGAACACGAATGCTTGCTCCGCATTCTCTGGCCATCATTTCTTCAACTGAATCTTTCTGACTCCAAGAGGAGAATAAAAGTTACCATTTAGACTGATTAAAAACAAAACAGGTTTATCAATTATTTCCAGCCAGTCAAGTGCTTCCAGAGAATTATTGAAAAAACAAAACAAGCAAAACCAAGAAAAAAAATAGACCTGATGCTTTAAGGCAAGTATTACTTTCTTTTATGATTCAAAATAAGTTTCTTCTTCCCTGGATAACACAGAAAACTATTTCTATGTGAAAATTCAGTTTCCCTAAGTCAAAAATGAAAAATGTGGGTGGGGCTGGCAAAATGACCTGAGTTTGCTCCCCAGGACACACATGGTAGAAAGAGAACACGACTTCTCCAAGTTGTCCCCTGACCTCCATACACACACTCTGGCGATTCACCCACATGCATGTATGCAAAATAAATCAATTGTAATTGAAGTGGTTTTAAATGTGAAGTATCCTTTGAACTTGACCCAACTCACCTACTCTTCTATTAGGTATAAGACGGCTGCTTCTTCTCCTGCCTGAGTATTTCATTTTCTTTCCCTGTGGTACTGAAGAGGGGAGTGAGGTGTATGTTAGGCATGTGACCTTCCCCTGAGCTACAACCTCAGCACTTGTATCTTTTGGTTACGCTGCGCATCAGGCATCAGAAGCATCCTGCCATCTTGAATGTGGCCAGCTGTATAAACTCAAGTGTATATGAAGCTATATACATCTGCACTTGGTTGGTAACGACAACCATAAGGCAGTTCTTCTCTTACTGATAAAATGCACAGACTCAGACAGTGATGTCAATTAACAGCATTGTCGAGCTCTGAATGCTGGGCCTGGCATTCCAATCAGTTGAGGGTGAGCTTGCACCTCTCTGCCTTCCCCGTGAGGCTAGTGGACTGGTTATAGCTCCCTCAGTAATGTCAAGCATAACCTCAGAGACAGAATCTTTCCAGTCTTGCATAAGCAGCCATTGTGACCCACAGCACAAAACCCATTTTCTACTCCCATGTAATACCCTGTGTTAGCATCACAAAAAGGGTCCAGTACTAGGTTAAAATACCTGTCTGCAATGCAAATCAGTACAGGTTCAACACCTGCACTTTTGTAACTAGATACAGAATCAAGAGTGTCCTGGAACACAGAGGCAAACGGAAGTGGCTTCCAGTTAACAGACAACTGTTCAAGAGCAGGACACATGAATTATTTATCTGCGGCTTCCCAGGCTCCCTCTCCAATAACTTGAAATAGTTGGCCTGAATGAATGCTTGTTCAACTAAACTGAAATCCCAGAGAGGCAGGCAGAAAGAACATGATATATGAGACAGTCATGCAAGAAAACAGGTGAATGCCAAGTAGACATGAGCCAACTGACACTTGATTAAGGACATTTCCCCAGCTGCAATGTCTGTGATAGTCCTTCCTTTTCTTCCAACTACTTTGCCATAAGGCTGAGCACATGCCCACCTCAGCCTAATTTTAGAATCCTGTCCTGTGGCTAGGAGGGTATGCAATGAACAGCATCAAGGCTAAGTGAGATCATAAGCTTCACTGGAATTTCTCGAGAACACATCTTCCTTTGTGCATTGGGCTGTAATGCTCAATTTTACAGAGGAGACTTTCTCTGCTATGGAGACCAAGCATTCAATAGGTGATGTTAAAGCTAATACAAATAAAGAAGTGGTTGTGTGTCAAAGAGAGTCATGAGGTAAGGACATTTGTGAGTCTGCTTGTCCTTTTACTCAGCCCAGAAATATCCCCTTCTTTTCCATGCTGTAACCTGGCTTGCTGATATCTCTGTAGCCCAGAAGATGCTAAAATTTGTAGTTCTGTTCCTTGCATCCAGAAGAGTCTTAATGCAATCAACAGTGTATTATTATAGTGGTTTATCAAGGGATGTCCTACAAATGTGTGAGGAGGCCAACCCTGAACGTGTGTGGCACCAGCCCATGGGCTGAGTCCTGAACTGAATGGAAAGTGAGAGAAAGAGGAAGTAAGGTAATTACTAGGTTTCCTCTCTCTTCTTCCTTACACTTCTGCCTTTAAGCCTCAACACTCTCTCCCCACACCTTCTATATCATGGCAGACTGCATCCTTAAACTGTGAACCAAAATAAACCTCTTTGTTATTAACTAATCTTTTTATTTATTTTTATTAATGAATTAAGTGCTTCTTCCTGTATTAGCCAGGGTTCTCTAGAGGAATAAGAATGATAGAACTAAACCTCTATACACTAAAAGAGAATTTATTAGAGTAGCTTGCAAGCCCTCGAACAGTTAATCCAACAGTGGCTATCTCCCGATGGAAAGGCCAAGAATTCAATAGCTGTTGAGTCCACAAGGCCAGATGTCTCAGCTGGTCTTCAGGACACACTGGAATCCTGAGGAAGTGGGTTCTAATGACCATCAAGGAATGCCTTGGCGGCAGGATAGATGAATTCAACATCAAGAGTGAGGACAAGAAAGCAAAAAGCAAAGGCTTTTTCTTCCATGTTCTTTTAGGTAGGCTGCCACCAGAAGGTGAGATGTAGGTTTTGGGTAGGTCTTCAGACATCAAATGATCCAATTGCAGTGTGCCCTGCTGCTTGGGTTTTCATTAATTCCAGATGTGGTTAAGTTGACAACCAAGATTAGACACCACATTTTCTTATGTTGATTTCATTTTTTTTGTCCCAGTTCAAGGAAGTTAGCTAGCAAAACTGGTCATTTAAATCACAACATAGTTAATTAACAGAGAAAAATATATGTTCTCATTTACATGGTCACCAAAACACAAACAAGAAGCCATATAAACAAACACTGAGAGTCATCCAAGATATTGTTTAAAAGGTTCTAGTGATGAATTCCAAGGAGCTTGAAGTTTGAAGAAAATATATTTGGAGAGTCTGGGGTGGTTTCACTTGCTGGCTTGTTTTATTGTTCATTGTTTTATGGTCTGCCTTTCAACAGCTCTCAGTATCATACAGATTTGAAGGAACGTCTAAGGGACACACTTCGAATGCTCCAGGTCAAAGCACTTACTCTGACAGGGCTTCATTGAACACTACGTGACAGTTGGCTTGTAGAAGGTGGCTGTCCCTTCTGTGTGTATCTGTGGTTACGTCTCCTAAACTGAGGTGGGCAAATCTATCCCTCTTACAGCCAGCAACTTCCTGAATCTCCCCTGAAAGCCACTTTGAAATTGTGTCCTATGTCTACCTTTAGGCTGCACTGATTAAAAAAGGAATAAAGGGATTTTAGGTAGCATTTTCAAAGAAAAAAAGTGAGCATCAGTTTGATCGGGAAAGCTGGTTGCTTCTAAAATACATTTTCAACATGAATTTGAATATTGGCAGATATTTAAAGAGGGTGAGCTATTTCAGGCCACGAAGCACAGAAAATAAGTTTACCTCGGTAAATTCTGCTAAAGAGGATGGTAGGTAACTCATGATGGATTTTTCTAATATGTGCAAAAAATGGAAACAGCTTGCTTTCATTTAAAGCCTGAACATTTTTCAAGGAACCATGATTGAACATCAGCCAGTTTAAAAAGAAATCTGAGCATTTTGGTGTGGGGGGAGTAAAGGTGAATTACTGCTTTTACTGAGAAATTAAAAAAATACAAGGTTAGTGGTGTGGATTTTACAAGATAATGAAATTCAAATCCAAGGAGATGAAGTCTTAGGGAACGACTCCTCTGGTGTTGAATAACGCATGAAACCCTGATTATAAAAATCGCTGACATTGCGGTAATTATTTTCACACTACAACGTTGCTGACAGCAGTTCTTAAATATAACAAACAGGATGGTCACAAGGGCAGGGAAAGGAAAAAGACAGAGGAATCTAACACAAGTAGATAGGAACTTTTCCAGGGAGAGGCCCCCCAAGCCCCTTTTAAGTGGCTCTTATTGATCATGTATACACAAGAATAGCTTTAATATTCACATCTGCCTCAGTTGTGTTGAAAAGCTGCCAAAACAGACTTGTTGGTGCGAATTTATGAGGTGGTTCCTCTGATGTTGGTGAGCTCCTGCCAGGGAACAGGGCCTGGTGTACAGACATCCGCCTGAGCCTCGTCAGCTGCGAATTTTGCCCTCAGTGCCACGCAGCCTGATTCAGTTCAGGGTGCCTAAGGTGGAGGAGGGCAAGAGCAGCATGGACTTCCTTAATGGAGGCTGGGAAGGCACGAGCCTTGAAATGCACTCTCCGTCTCTTGACTCCATCACTGCAGCCGCTCTTTCTGAACGCTTCTCTACCTGCAAAGACACCGTTAGGAAACGAGAAGGCATTCTGTATTAGAAGGTGTGTTGGCCTCTGGATGACCTGGATGCAGCCTTTTCATGTGGTGGTGTACTTGAGCCCCTAGTTAGATTTCTTACTGTAAAAGTGGATCATCAGCCAACCCCTAACCTGGGGCACTATAAATGGACCTTCACAATGCGGTGTTTATGTATCATCATCTCTGTTAAAACATGCCTCTCACCTCTGTCTTTCACATTTCCTCCCTGCCTGCAGTACTGTGTAGAGGTTGCACATACAATGTCCCAGACAGCTTCAAGTGACGTTGGCATAAAACCCTAGTTACACTAATGCACCATCACTACTATTTAGCGACTGACATGTTTAGATGAGCTTGTGTACCTAACACTTCCTCTGGCTTTCAAAAGCCTTAACAATTGAGGACCATAACATTAGCTTTCATTGATTGAGGACCTGTGTGTCAGGAATTGGGATTGAACTCAGAGTGGACAACTTATATCGGAAAATGCCAGGATAGAGAATGGCTAGACGTCACTGATTGGCAAATCCTAGACCTCACTCACATGGCTGAGCTTTCCATGGCTGTCAGATACCTTTCCCCTCCTTTACACACAGCTATTTCCTCTACATGCAGTCACTTTCCCATGTAGCCCTCTGTCTTCATGCCCCCACCTCCAATGAGCCCCTCCCTCTACTGGGTCACTCTCTGTACAGCATAGTATGGTTCCCAGAGAGTGAAAGCAGAGGCTGTCAGCTCTCTCAAGGCCTAAGGTGGATCTGAGCCAGGCTCTTACACCGATGAATCCTCCTGGATAAGTGCAGCAAGTCAGGAGGACAGGTTCAAGTTGGGGGTTGGCAATGGTGATACATGCCTAGCATGAGTAGATTTACAGGAAGCCACCTTTGCAGACAACAGGCCAAAGCTTATTTGACACAAGAGGCAACAGGCCAAAATAAGTCTGTCCATGTGTTAATAAGTGATAAAACTAGAATGAAGCCTCCACTTCCTTAGAGAAGAATGGTTAAAGGGAAGGGAGTGAGTGATCATCCCTGAGTAGACCAGATGTGCATTACTAATGCTAGAAAGGGAGATGGAGAGATAGCATTGCCAACTAGCCAGCCCTCCAGTGCACACAACAGGCCAACAAGCAGGCTGTGAAGCATCAAATTCATTTGATTCCTGGATGCTTATCAGTTCATAGCATGAATAAGTTCCAACACTGCAGATGTCATTTGAGGGAAGGATTCCATTTAAATAATTTGTATATTGGTTAACAGAGATGGGCAGTGGTGCTCTAGTGATTTCTATTCAGGATACTGTTTCCTGAGGTTCTTCTTTATAAATGCTCTACATTTTAAGGGTGGTGGGGAAGAAGTTTTAAAATGTGCTGAGATTGGCAGTGCCCCATGATGTTAGGTTTGTCACATAACCATTGCAGTCTTCCTATTTTATTCCAAACAAACAACTTATTCCCATAGACAAGGGAATGGGTCCCCAGCTGATAGTTAGAGGCTCAAAATGAGATAAGATGATCCATGACAATTCCAGCAGATTTTTAATAAGTACCTCAAGATCACTGCAAGTCATGCTGACTGCTGGACTGTTGCTGATTGGTTATGCATCATGAATTTAGTAGACAGCTGACTGGTTATCAGACTGACACAGTTATCTATCTACCTGTGTCACTATGGTCACCTCCATTTTGATCATAGCCATGGCCTCCTTGACAATGCCCATACCGGGGTGAAGGTAACAATAGTTCAACACTTTCAACTTCAGATTGTATTTCCTCCTCCGACGTCCTGATATAATAAACATGACCATAGGGTTTCTAAAGCAGGCCTCCTTTCATAGGTTGTGGAATGACAGGAGCACTGCTATTGTTCCCTTCAGTATAACATGATCATCATGGTCATCAGTAGAGCATGGGAATCTTAATCCCAGGGACATGGGTTCGAGCCCCACACTGGGCATCAAAATTTTATTTTACCTTAGTTATGGTGGCTGCCCTTTAAACTACTAGAGGTCAAGGTGCAAAGGCTATAGCTTGGGGATAATTCTGTTCCCCCAGACAATGGCTCTGTTGCTGCTGCTAAAGGTAGTTCTAACTAAATCTCTATAGTTAGACTAAAACTTGAGATTCAAAGGCTAGGGTGAAAAGAGAGGCAACTGGCTAACTTTCTCTCTTTGCTGGTGTCCCCGAAGTCACTCCCTTCCACACTGCCCCAACTAAAAAAAGCATGCTAAGCTCCTCCCTGTTACTTCCTGTCAGCCAGTTGCTAACCCTACCTCTCTGGGCCATGTTAATTTTATTTTTTTAGCACAACCACAACACGTCTTTACATAGTTAACAAATACAGCATGAAAAAAAATGTACCTCATCTTTGCCTGGCTAAACAATTATTTGACAACAGGACAGCTATTGTTCCCTTCAGTTCCTAGTCCCTTGCTCTGACCTGGGATACCCTAATGTGCCTCCTGTGGATGGCTATGACTAAAATGAGTGGGAATTGGAGACTCTCTCACAGCAGCTGCATGTCTGCTGTGACTGTGCAATCATGTCTATAAGGAAGGTCAAGTACAAGCTTCGATCTTGGGTCCCCAAGCAAAGGGTGAGAAGCTAGCCACTGCAACGCAGCAGCATGCAGTGTTCTCGTGCGGTACTCCTGGACCCTATCATCCATTGGAGGGGTCCCATCAGCTCTAAGAGCTCTCCAACAGAAACTGGGGTTGACTTCACACATATTAAATTAGCTGTTCTTCTCATTGCTCCCTGAGATGAATGGTATGACTGCTAAACTGATTTACAATTCCATTGGAAAACATTTCTAGTTTACTTAATTACTGATTTAATTGTGTTGATCAGTATAATGCATCCCCATATTTACTGTGTGTCTACAAATATAAATGGTACCTTTTAATATTTAATACCTGAAGTACTACATTAAAATCTGTTCTATTCACTGCAGCCGTTTAGTGTTCCCTCTTTCCATTTTGTCCAGAAGGCCAGCGAGTTCCTTACTCTTCTTCAAGGAACCCTTTATGTACACTCCGCAGCGACCCTCTCCAGAGAAGGTGCCCTGAGGCCAGGGCTGGTTCTGTGTCTCAGGACATCAGTATGTCATGTAATGAGCTCGAAAGAGCAATCAAGTCCCCTGAAATGTCTCTGCAAAGGACGTCTATTCAGCACTCTGATGGACATGGAACATGGGATTTCAGCTCACCCTCAGGCAACCTGCTGACAGGAGCAAACCTGGAGAATTGCACTACGAAGATGCTCTCACTTCCTACCCAGCCCTGTCTTCTTTTAAAGCATGGAGCCAAGCTGAGTCCTCACCATAAGAAACCAAGGCAGGCCATTGAGCAGTCTGTGATCTAGTGTTGAAGGAGCTAAACAAGAATGAGAAAACAGTCAGCTCAGAAACTTTTCCAGGAGAAGGTGGGAGAGAGCTCAGCAACATGGGCCAGCAGATTTCCTGCAGCAGAACTGGAAGCTCTACACAGTGGGGACTCGGGCAGCTGGGGCATGGGCCATCTTGAGGTCATCAGAACCCTCAGGAAAACTCACAAACTGGGAGTAGCTCACCTCCTGCAAAGCCTCTGAGTACGAAGAGCTTGGTGTCTTTCTCTGAAAATGGATACTGAAGGTCAGATAAGCCAGACACAGAAACAAATGTCATTGCTGTCATAAGAGC